TAGTAGTAGTAGTAGTAGTAGTAGTAGTAGTAGTAGTAGTAGTAGTAGTAGTATAGTAGTAGATAGACAGACAGACAGACACAGAGATAGAGATAAATAGAGAGAAGAGAGATAGATAAATAGATAGAGAGAAATAGATGGAAGGAGGAAAGTAGTAGTAGTAGTAGTAGTAGTAGTAGTAGCAGTAGTAGTAGTAGTAGTAGTAGTAGTAGTAATTGTAGTAGTAGTAGTAGGAGGAGGAGGAGTAGGAGTAGGAGTAGGAGTAGTAGTAGTAGTAGTAGTAGTAGTAGTAGTAGTAGTAGTAGTAGTAGTAGTAGTAGTATAGTAGTAGATAGACAGACAGACAGACACAGAGATAGAGATAAATAGAGAGAAGAGAGATAGATAAATAGATAGAGAGAAATAGATGGAAGGAGGAAAGTAGTAGTAGTAGTAGTAGTAGTAGTAGTAGCAGTAGTAGTAGTAGTAGTAGTAGTAGTAGTAGTAGTAGTAGTAGTAGTAGTAGCAGCAGCAGCAGCAGCAGCAGTAGTAGTAGTATAATACTTGCTGTATGGTTATTGCTGCGAGCACATTTACTGTATATGGGAAATAACTCTGTACTTCTTATCTCACAGAAAATATATTGTTTTTGTTTCCCTTATATTGTTCATGAAAATTTATCGAATACTATTTTTCTTGAGCAATTTGCTATTTTACTATAATTGTGCTTCCTTCAACTAGCAAAGACAAGTAGCTTATATAGTAATAAGGAAAGAAAGCAGAGCCTCCACGACCAAACAAACAAACAAACAAACAAAAAAAAAAACACAAAAAAAACCCCAACCCCTAATAAAACTACAACAACCATGCAACCAACCAAGCAAAATCATTAAAGAATATATAAATCAATCGATAAGTCAGTTAGTCAAGTAATCAATTAATAAATTTAAAAAAACAAAACAACAACAACAAAGCAACCCCCCCACCCCCCGGACAGTCTATGAAAATGAAATATCTCTCACTGAGAATGGGAAGAACATTTTTTACCCCTTCTCATCTCCTATGCCTCCCCCCCTCCCCCTTTGCGCGTTCCCCCAGCATGCTGTTCCCATAATCATGTACTACTACACTCAGTTCATGTTGCATTATTCCGATTACCGTACACCGTAACTATGGCGCCAGGGTCGTCCTCAAAGTCTGGCCCGTCAAAGCACACAGCGCCCTCTACAGGCAGATCAAGATACTCCATAGTCCCTGAAATGTAAGTTAGAGCAGATAGTTATGCTAGCAGAAAATGAAGACCTCACTGAAATATTGTAAATAAATGAAGGCCTCACGGAAACATTGTAAATAAACGAAGTCCTCAATGAAATACTGTAAATAAATGAAGACCTCGCTGAAATATTGTACATAGATCTAGATCTAAATGAAGACCTTACAAAAATATAAGAGCAGAAAGTTGTGCTCGTATAAAAATGAAGACTTCACAGAAATAATCTTGTAAATAATTTAATGAAGACCTCACTGAAATAATACTGTTCACAAACATGCAAACAAATTAAACCTCACCGAAATACAATAGCAAATAGTTATGCTTGTAAATAAACAAAGGCCTCACCAAATATTGTAAATAAAAGAAGACCTCATTGACATATTGTAAATAAACGAAGTCCTCACTGAAAGCTATGTTTACTCTTAAACGAAGACCACTGAAAATACAGGAGCAGGTACCTTTGCTAGTTGATAAACATACATTTCACTTAAAATATAAGAGAAGACAGCTAAGCTTGAAAATGAATGAAGACCTAACTGAAATATTAAGAAAAGATTGCAATGCTTGCAAGTAAATGAAGGCCTCGCTGATATAATAATAAAAGAGCAGATAGCTAAGCTGGTAAAGAAACGAACACTTCACTGAAAACATAAGAGAAGATAACTAAGCTATTGTCTG